AGACTAAAAGCTTTAGGAATCCAAAGTACAACATATAATAAGTACCCTGTATCAAGATTGATGCAAAACAAGTGATATTTGACCTTTTTAGACAGATTTAGCAAAAAAAAAACCTCTTCTGGGTCCATTTGGGTGGATTTTCCATATCTCTGGCCCCCCTTGTTCGATTTTGACATGTGACATCTCTTACTGACCGTTAGAGCCAATAGAATCTAAGGGAAATCGTCTCGCACACACTCATGTTAAAAACAAAAGGTGGCGTCTCTGCGCATGCTAGCTTGCAGCAGAGGGGAGAAATATCCCTGCTCTGATATAAAGCAACTCAAAAGCTGTTTTATTGCTTATGGATTATCAGAACATTTCAAAGGGGACGCAGCCACATTGGATATTAACCTATGGATTAACTACATCATCGTTGTTATCGTTTTAATGCCATTGAAGACCAGTTTGGACCAGAAAAAGACGAAGGTAAGCCATGTTAGCGTTGTGGGCTACCTAGCGCCACTTGTTTTGATGTACGTTTTTGTTGATAACGTCGCGAGTTTGTATCTTTCAGTGTTGAGGGGGGCGACCGTTAGATTCTGTGTCTCCTTGCGATCTTAAAGTAATAAGGGAGCTAGGAGTAATATTCGGTGCAGTAATGGGTTAGCATATTTCGCTCAGGGGTCATTTAGATGCTTCTTATGAGACTTGTGTTTTGCTTTGGTAAAAATGGTTTGTATCGTCAGTTAGCTGAGATTATTCCCGTTAATCTGGTATAACACATTAATAGGTTCTTAAATATTAAGATCCCCTGGGGACCTTGGGGTTTAACAGGTTAAATAGAAATAATCTTGACACATCCTTTCACTTTCCTCCTGTGATTACTGAGGTGAAACAACAATCGAAAATGAGGTGTTAAACTTTGTCCTATCACAATTTGCCAAACAATTTATGTATACCTGCACCACAGTGTAATGAGTGGGACTGCAATAGCATAGGGAGATCAATATAACATAACCAACTGCTGTAACCACTCATTAGCTGTCTTTATGACACTGTTCCCATGAATCATTCAGTTAAAGGATTTGCTCCAAAGAATTGTTGGAGTCTAAGAATATAAGGATCAACAGGTTGAAGGAGGATCCTTTAACGGGTGTGCTGTCATTTATTATGTCTTACATTTGTCCTACTTTAAACTAAGAAAGTAAGTGTACCTCTATCTCTCATACCTTTCTTTATCCTTCCATCATAAATCCTTCTTTCTTTTCTACTTCCCATCATGTTCATTCTGGTACTTGTAGTTGTGTCTCTTGGGGGGGGCTATTGATCAAACAAGCGGCAGGAAGGCCAGAATTGAAAGACACAGCAGGGTGGCAGCCAGGTGAATGACAGGTCAAACCGTGTGTGTGTGTGTGTGTGTGTGTGTGTGTGTGTGTGTGTGTGTGTGTGTGTGTGTGTGTGTGTGTGTGTGTGTGTGTGTGTGTGTGTGTGTGTGTGTGTGTGTGTGTTTCAATGCATAGTCCAATCTACTCATGACAATGAAAGGACCAACAGTGGTAAACTTTCCAGATGTTTTTGCCTCGCCCTGAAGGCTATTACATAGACTGTTTATCTGAATGTAATTATATTATACATACATGACACTGGATTTGAATGTAATTATGTTATACGGTCGCATGTTTACTTAAATGGAATAACATTATTTATAGTAGAAGATATTTAACGTGACATTTGAGACACCCATCTACCCCCCCTCCCCCCCACCCATTATGTTTAAGAGCAATCAACTGATATATTGGACCGTTTGATTTATCGCCATTTTCATCAGGGCAGTTTGTATTTTATGAAGAAAATATGTGAAATTAAGATCAAGGTTTTTTCTGCAGTGATTTATAAGGCACAGCTTGGAGCTTTAAGAGGATAGAGTGAAAAGAAACAATGAATCCATATGTGTTCTTAATTGACCAACTGTTTGCTTTCTTTGCCATGCGGGATATGTCTTTAGTGTCTTCTTAAAATGTTAATGTGTGGGCAGAATATGTTTGTAAAACCCATTGTTGAACTACAAGGCACATTTTAACCACTTCATATGTTTTTTTTACTGAAAGATAGCAATAAAAACTTTACATTCGCCCATAGCAAAATATTAGATGTGAAACTCAAGATCATTTAGCAGGATTAGCAGGATCCAGGAGATAGAAAAAACAACTCTTTATTCAAAAAACATCATCAGTCAATTATTTAAAGAGGAAAACGAATTTCACTTTAGGCCCCAAGCCTGTTTTTCAGGTTTCAGGCTCGAAAATGACATTCCCAGAACAAATGACCATATCTTCCCTTCTAAAAGGGTTAAATTAATAATCTTTTTTCTCAAAGTAATGATAAACCTGTGAGTTGGATGTAGAAAAGTCAGAATCAATATAGATGTTTTTTATTTTAAAGAAAATTCAGATTGAACATGGTAAAAAACTGTAAATTATAGTGCCAAAAAAAATGTTGTACTTATAGTGAAAACTAACCTTGGATGATGGGTTAGTAGAGGAATCCAAACAAAGTACTCCAAAGTACAACATATAATAAGTACCCTGTATCAAGATTGATGCAAAACAAGTGATATTTGACCTTTTTAGACAGATTTAGCACAAAAAAACCTCTTCTGGGGCCATTTGGGTGGATTTTCCATATCTCTGGCCTCCCTTCTTCGATTTTGACATGTGACATC